ATGATGATTTTGTCGTCATCTTGATGGCGTACTATGCTGTCAATCAGATACGAAAGCTTAGAGGATACAGTTGATACTAGATGAGTTTGCCGCAAAGCCGGTGGCAGGCTGTCCACAGGAAATGCTTCAGTTGGACCTATAGCCCCAGCTTGAAGTCGAGGCTTGCGACGTCGAGTATCCTCTCCAAGTTTGGTGTTTCCCGCCAAGGTAGCTGATTTCTTCTCTTTGGCATCAGCAACTTTGTCAGATGTTTGTACAGCTAAGATCTTATTTCTCTCGATCAATCCTTCTCGAATGAGACCTCCATTAAGCAAAGAGTTCAGCAACTCCGTTTCATGGGCCGCCTCAGTCAGTAATTTTTGCAGAGATAAAATCATACTTGCTGATGTGTATATTGTATCTCCCCCCTCACCATCCAGGGACCATGAATGGCTTGCATCCCCAAGCGGGCCATGGACTCGAATGGGAATGTCATGATAACGATTGCTGAGATTTCTCAATTTGTCATTGATGGCAACTTTTCCCAGTATTATAGCTTGTCGCAAATGGACGCTGTCTTCGTCACTGATTGGCACTTTCTTTTCTTCCAGGAATTTCTCCGCCGTTTCAACAGCCTTTGCGATCTCTTCCGAAGAAAAAAACGAGCCCCCAAAGAAACTCGACTGTTTTAGATTGTGCACGATTTCCAATAGACTCTTACGCTGTCGAGGGTGAAAGAAGTAGTCCATGTCTGTTCGTTGTGACTGCACGGAATTAAAGATGATCATCATAGCGAAGAGGTTCAAGGACAGCCGATCTTGGAATGAGCCTTCAAGCAAAATTACCTTTTCATCAACAGGCGGCAAGAGATCGCTGACTTCAGATAGTCGATGTCTGATAATTAAGGAGTTAAGGGTCGCCTTCAAACGGTCCCGCCGGCCGTAACTGTTCTTCTTGTGCCGCGGGAGTAACAAATATGTCCCCCAATCCGCACGAGTATCTTCGTTTTCCGTCGCAACATTCGCCCACGGCCTCGCCTTCAGGTACAGCGAAGAGATCGAGCCTAGTCGCTCAAGATCTTTCTTCTCCATTTCAGCGGATGTCTCTCGAGTTTGTATAGGGAGTAATGTTGGGTCTCTCGGTGAAGAACCCGCCGGAGTTCGGTTATCTACACCAAAAAGACCATGTGAGGGCGTTCCAGTCACAATCCATCGCGACGAGAAGTTCATTCTGTCGAGGCCACGTAGCAAATTGCTCTTTCGGCATATTTTTGAATTGCCGAGTTTATGGCCTTCATCAACGATGCAGCGTTTGAAATGGACTACAGAGAGCGCAGTACCACCTACTCCACCACTTTCTTTAACGAGCCTTTCGAATCGTGATTGAGAAAATAAGATGATATCGATATCTAACAATTCTCTCAAGGAAGGAATTGATTCATCCTTTGAGAGAACGCGGACAGTTAAGGAGGTAGTGTGCTTTGCTATTTCGTGCTTCCACTGAGAAAGCAGATTGGTAGGCACAACCACGATGGTTGCATTGCTCAAGTAGATTTTAGTAGGCGCTAGTTCTTGGACAGGATGTCGACCGGTACGACGAAGTTTCGGTGGAGGACGCAAGTAATATCCTGGGTTTCGTTTGAGAGCGGCCTCGCATCGATGAAATTCATAACCAATCTGGCGTCTCCAGGTTTCAAAATATGATCTCCACGGAACGGCGTGCCGGGTAGCACAGGCCGCTGCCATGTCGGCAAGTGAGGCTATTTTGTTTCGTTTAGGACAACTGATACCGCTGCAAAGCTCTGGGGGCCGCGTTGGGAGATTCCTAGTCGCGAGGATGAGAGCTAAGCAAATAATGGTCTTGCCTGCTCCCATTTCTTCTGCCAAGATGCCGCCACATACACCATCATAATATCGTGGTTCTCTCAGAATGGTCCCAGCCACCGGATCAGTGTACCATGGAGTTCCATCATGCCCATCGATAGCAATCAGGCGTGGATCAAGAACCTTGCTTGGCTCTGCTTCCTTTTGCACCATGACGGCTATTGACCTGCGTTGGTAAGCGTACAGTTCTGTGGTGACTCCGGGTATGGTGTGCTCCAAGACATCGTTCATAGAATCCCGAGCGTATGCGTCGGTAACCAGGTCAGTGGCCGGGTTAGGCGAGGGAATATTGTTAAACACCTGCAACAGCGATTCGTTCTCATCGCCTGCAACGTTATCGCCTCCGAGGGGGGATGAGCCATCAACACATGCAATAGTTTTTCCTTCCCATGCGTCTGTCGAGTAGTCTAATAAATGAAGAAGACGTTGCCGCGATTTTCTGAGACTGACACTGGTTCTATCAATCAGGCCGCGATATGCATCATCCGGTAGCAAATATACCCGCACCGTGCCATATGATCCATCTTCATGTACACAAAACTCGAGATCTATCCATTGTGATTTAAACAGAAGTGAGGCTAATTGCAGAAATTGTAGCTGGAAAAGGCGCTCTTGGACGTTGATTGGTAAATGACCATTGTCAGCACGGACTTGATTGTCGTCAAACTGGTCCAGAGACGAGTGATGGCGGAAACTTCTCCAAACCTTGAGATTGATGGTATCCCAGGTCTCTTTTGCAACATTGGAATCGTCAAAGGAGACTCCAAGGCATCCGGCAGGGATATAGTCATGCCGTAGAAGATGCATTTTGTCCACATCTCGTAGATCGTCATCAAGCCGATTGCACTGTGCCTCTCAAAGTTAGAGTCATGATTATCGGAATTATAGGAAATTAAAACACTCGGTGTATCGTTTTCATTCTCCCAGAAAGGAGAGAAGAAAGCTTGAACGTTAGGAGTTGTAAGTCCTATTAGTACTGATGGGATTGATGATAATAGTAAAGGGGCAAGATTCTGACACCAAGATCCGGCTGTTGCCTAATACTGTAAATGCTAATTTCTTCACACTGTGAATCGCCACTCCCGAGGCGTGATGCAGACAGTGCCAATAACACACTGTGTGCGAAAATCATGAAAATCGATGATTTCTTCATCTTAGCGAGGTAACAACTAAATAATCAGCTTGAAGTGGTGTGTAAATTACTATAGTTTCCTATCTCGTTCCGTCCCAACGATCCAAAAGTCCGACCTGCCACTCTTTAAAGGACCTTTCCTTTTCCGGTAGCAGACGATTGCTCGATTTTAGAATCTCCCTTGATAATTGAATCGTGGCAGTCGGAAGACTCAAGTCTTGTACATCTAATACGATTGAATCTGTAAGTTTATCACCCTCTTCTGCGGTGATCTGCTGATATAGAACCTTCATCGCTGTTTTCTTGCCCTGAATAGAGGAGGATGAGTAGACGACATTGGGGTTCAGAACCCAGAGATAGAGCGGCGTCGTCTGATTCTCTCCCTCTTCGGACGCGTGTGCTGATATAAGCGACTTCGCGCTTCCTGATCTGGAGATATTTGCAACAAGAGATGCTGCAAGACACTCGGGTCCGCTTGGGACTCTATTGCTTGGCACAGTCGTGTTGCATTTGACCTGCCACTTGAACAGATTCACTGAGCCGATTTTCACGTTGAAAAGACCGATTTCTGCTTCGCATGCACCGCAGAAAATATGTAAAAACTTTGGCGGTGCTGCATCTGCTAAGGCGTCGGAGCTATTTCTCGCAGCTTTTGCTAGAGTGGACATCGAAAACTGGCAGGATGTAAGCATACAGTTCTTACGGCTTTCGTTACCGAGCGAACAAACGTGGCAAAAGATATGCCAACCAATGTACCTCATTAAGATCTCCCAGCAACCATGGCTCTGATTACTAAGAAGAAATTGGGAGGTCAGCCGTTCACCCAGGTCATCAGAACCCGTCCTGGAGTGAGGAGGTTTCAAAGACACTGGTTGCCCCAGACAGAGGCCGGCAGAATCCAATGATGTTGGGGAATTGTATCGATGACCATACCACCGAGTAGCCTTTGACGGCTGATCTGGCCACCTTCTATTTCCCCGGATAGATTGAAAAGGACATAATAGTAAAACAATGCAAAGGCGTCGCATTAGGCAGCGGAACTTACAAGTAAGTTTTGACAATTGGTTTCATCAAACATGAATGAGGTAATGTCAACAAAGCCGGTGCCAGGCTGGGCAGTTATAACACTATTGGCGCCATATCCTCTATCTGCCAAGCTTTCTTGTTGATGCTCACTGTGATCGTGTGGTTTGTGACAGTGCCAAAACTCCATCATTTCGGCCCAGTTTTCGCTAGGCAAGTCTTTCCAGGATTGTATGGTGTCCTTGGGAATGACGATGGAGTTGCAGCTTCGACAATATATGACAGATCCATGTTCAAGGTCTGAAGCAACCCACGGAACAGCCTGAGTTTCGGGTGAGAAGTGCGGAAATGGCGTCCCTTCTGAAGACAGTGGCAATCGCCATGTCAGTTCGCGAGAAGCCGATTGGGAAACTTGCAATGTCGTATTGCCAAACACCGTTCCTGGCAGATCCAGGGCCTCGGTCTGGCCATCATGCTCGATGCATAACCGTCGACCGCCATCGAAAACTTTGGCTACAGTCCTGGGACCTGGAGGCGACGGCAATGAAGCAGCGATGGAGACTTGTCTGATGTTCGAGAGCAACTCTGCATAGATGGAAATCCGATCCTCCTTCATCGGAACGGTTATCTCGAATCGGTCTCCCGCATCAAGGGCGGTGGTCACTACGTCTGAATTAGACGTTTGCTCTGACAAAAGCAGTGTGGCGGTAGGCCTGCACCAGTCGAAGCGCGGTGATGGGGTCTGGAGCGTTGTTTGTGCTGTGTCTGTCTGTTGAGGTGCAAAAGACGCGGACTCGCATTGTGCAATCAGGACAAGCAAGAGCCCGGTTCCCCCCCACTAATACTCCGTAGAGTACGGAGTACCAGACTGTACATCTCGATCCCCACTCATGACCTCAACGCTTTCAGCATCATAAAAGAGTCCACTTCTTGACCCAACAGTTACCGACAGGAAATCATGCGGTCTTGCTAAATCATCCAGAATGTCTGGAATACTATCATATGTGCTTGGTGGCGACCGGAAGGCTGCAGCGATCAACTTGACCCCAGTGGAAGTACACCATATAGAAACCAACCCCGATCGCAGGGCGCGGTCACTCAAGCATCTGCTCAAGGCTAATCACGTCAACTATTCTGTCGTCTATAACCAGCTCCGTTTCGATAATCATAATGCCCATATTCTGAGCTCGGCATATTTACTCGGTGCCACACCGAATCAGCTCCACGATGTTTATGAGGAACAGGCCAAGGAATTGGACGCTTGGACGCCGTCTCCGGCGGAACTGGTTGATAGTGACTGGGTCGACTTTTTAGGAGACAGGCATTATCAAAGAGCATACGTGGATTTCTTCGAGGACAAACTGGCCATGGAATACGCCTATGACTGGAAGAAGGTGGTTGAGCACTTTCTGTTCTCGTCCGACAAGCCGTTGGTCCATGGACTAATTTGCGGCCGTATGTTCAATATGACGGCGCCAAAGTTCTCGAAACCACCTATACTGACGTGTATTAGTTGGCCACCCTCTAATTCAGCTGGGATATGCATATGAAATGGACAGCAGAGAGGTCGCAATGGAGGCTCTCACACTGGCGTCAGTACAGCACAATTTTCTCTACAAGTACAGCGCTGATGCGTCCTACACGAGGCCCTCATCTAAGAGCAACAGCTCAGTGCTTGATCTGCTTGTCCAGATGTCAGAGGATGAAAATTTCGACAGTCTGTCGAAAGATATTGACTTTGGAAGCCTTGAAAGCATGATTACCAATCATGAGGACCTGATAATGGAGTACTGGAATGCCTGGAAGATCTCCGATCCGGTCAAGGATTTTGAATCATCACAGAGAGCCTCCGTCGCGCTTTTTGTTACATCGGTCGACCATAAATCACATAATTACAACTTCTTCATCGTGCATCTGCTTACGACCAGCTATGCGTTGAGGGTCTTGCTGCCATTCTTCCCAGCCAAGTATCACATCAGCCTTGTGAGGCAGTGGTGGCTTTTAGTCATTGCAGTCTTTGTCTTGAAGGGAAGGCCATGTCCGAATCTCGAAAACATTGACAAGGACTGCAATAGCCGTGGCTGGGAGTATATCCAGGACAAGGCGCTGAACTCCCAGTTTTCATGCGATGCACATTATGTCAAGGGTAGGTTACCAGTGATGGGCCCCTAAAGTTTCCGACTGGATAATCTAACTGACTGCTTAGCAATTCGATCAATGAGGGAAATTGGTAGACTTTGGGGAGACGAGGATACTTTCTATCTCCGGGCGGCTGCAACGTTTGTGGACAATTTTCACGGATGGAGTTTCTAACCTCGAAGGGTTTTGGATCGCATGTACTTGTAAAGGATTGTTTGAGTGGGAAAACTTGTCTTCCGCTGTATGTACACCTATGTGTGAGTCATTACAAATTGAAATTGTATCTGTTCATTACTCTAATTAAATACAAATCAGTTGATAAGCATGCTCCTTTGGTGCCATGCACACGCTAGTGACTGCTTACTTTTATCAACTTTAGAAGTCAATGCCCAAATGGACCAGACGACAACATCAGTGTTTGGGGCACTGCATGTCAAGTGGTACGGGGTAGTTAATGTTGAAGCCTGGTGGGGTCCAGGTCGCCGTAAGCTACCAGACAGATATTGAGTGCACGTGGACATGGAATTGACGTTAGTTCTGGCGCATGGCCTCCATGTCCAGTGGACCGGGTCACCACAGTGATGTTAACATAGTGCCTGGCAGCCTGGCAGCCTGGCACTTCAGCTGGCTGGGTCCAGTCGAGTCGGGTCGAGTCTGGTCTGGCAGCATGCAGTTACCAGACTTGGGGCAAACATTCAATGTTGAATCGACGCAACTACCTCTAAGTACTTAGTGTTACTTTCTCCCATCACCCGCCGTCAACACCAGACCAGTTGGCAGCCTTCCCGACCGACTGGTTGAGCTCAATTCTACAAACCCAGCCCGTATGGAACTCCGGATACACAAATGCTTCAGTCGCTTTGATGGCACCGTCCGCGAAACGCCGCAGGCGGAACCCAGTTGAGGCGTCTGATGACGAAGATGAGCAGCCTCGAGCCAACACCCTCTCCAATTTCCTTCTGTCTTCGCCAAGCTCTTCGTCAAAAGACCCAGCCCCGACTGCGTCTACGAGTTCCCCCAAGGGCAAAGGTTTTGCGGGCCAATCTGGCACCAGTTTTTCTCCTCGAAAGACGCGGCAGGCAAGCTTACAGAAGAATGGTAGCAGTCCCAGCCCCAAGAAGTCCAAAAATGTTGGACGAATCGAAGAAAGGGGCAAGACGGCCGATCTCAAAGCACTCTTTTTGAAACAAGCCCAACGGGCCACGAAGCCGGGGAATGGCAGCGAAAAGCGACCTTCGCCCATCGATGACCCCATCAGCGATCCAATATCCGAAGATGACGAAATATCAGAACTCAAGGCTTGCTCATCGAGCTTGGTCAGCCAACATGCCCGTAAGAGATTGAAAAATGGGAGTGCAACTGCGGCGAGCGAGTCGTCGAACACTGGCTCAATGTTCCTCAAACCACCCAGACCTGCAAATCCAGTTGGTGTCGATGACGATTTGCGACCATGGTCGGAGCGGTTCGGGCCACGAAATCTGGATGAGCTGGCAGTCCACAAGAAGAAAGTTGCAGATGTTCGAAGATGGCTAGAGGATGTCATGTCAGGACGCATGCGACAGCGGATTTTGATCCTCAAAGGGGCAGCAGGCTCGGGCAAGACAACCACTGTCCGGCTGTTGGCGACCGATATGGGGTGTGAACTCCTTGAATGGAAAAACCCTACGACGAATTCGGGCACGGGATATGTTTCTGTGTCGGGCCAGTTCGGGGAATTCCTTGGCCGTAGCGGCAAGTTTGGGACACTGGATGTGGAGGAGCCGGCTAACACAACCATGAAGAACTCAAATGGGCTTGCTCAAAGTCGAGCCAAGCGAATCATTCTCGTAGAGGAGTTCCCAAACACATTTTCAAGGTCCTCGTCAGCGTTGACCTCTTTCCGCAGCACAATACTCCAGTACTTGGCTGCGCACACGCCTTCACTAGCCAGCTTTGGGAAGGCACCTCAGCATAGGAATCAGATCAGTCCGATTGTTTTGGTCATTTCAGAGACCTTGTTGACAACAACATCCGCAACAGCCGATAGCCTTACGGCTCACCGTCTGCTGGGACCAGAAATACTTCGTCACCCTGGTGTTGGTGTGATAGAGTTCAATGCAATTGCACCTTCGATCCTGGCAAAGGCCCTGGAGCTTGTCGTCTTAAAGGAAGCGAGAAAGTCTGGCCGCAAACGAACTCCTGGACCCCAAGTGCTTAAGAGACTGGGCGAAATTGGAGACATTCGAAACGCCGTCTCCTCTCTCGAGTTCTTGTGCCTCAAAGGGGACCAAGACTCGGACTGGGGAGCCAAGGTCGCTTTTACCAAAATCAAAAAAAGTACGAGGGATTCGATTACTTTGACAAAGGGGGAAGCAGAGAGCCTAGAGTTGATATCGCAACGCGAAGCCAGCCTGGGCATATTTCACGCAGTTGGCAAAATCGTGTATAACAAGAGGGACGAAAAGGCGCCAGCAAATGATGCTGTCGAAAACCTTCCCCCGTTCCTATCAGAATATGCCCGGCCGAAGAGGTCGCAAGTATCTGTTGATTCTCTTATTGATGAAATCGGTACAGACACTCATACATTCATATCCGCCCTCCATGAGAATTACATTCTTTCATGTGAGAGCACTGACCCTATGGATTTATCAACACCAGTGGACTATGTCAATGAATGTATAGAGTGTTTATCAGAAAGCGATCTTCTCTGTCCGTCCCGAGACGTATTTTTTGGAGGTAGGGGCGGTTTTGGTGGTTTCAGCGGTCGAGAGACAGGCAGCCATCTTCTTCGGCAGGACGAGATGACATTTCAAGTCGCCGTTAGAGGTATGCTCTTCTCCTTACCAAGCCCGGTCAAACGCAAGACAACTACAATGACCAAAGGCAGCGATGCATTCAAGATGTTTTATCCAACAAGTTTGAAGCTTTGGAAGGCCAAGGAAGAGATTGAGGGCATTATCGACATGTGGTCATCAAGGATACTGAAGGGCGGATCAGAACTGGCAACAAAAAATCTAACAGACGGAGCAAATGCATTTCTGAGGACCCAATCCTCTGGAGAGCCTTCTTCTTGGATGCAGCGCCAACAGGCACGCGCTGCAACTGCAAACACCACCGAGCAACAGGAAGAATCCTCGGCCCCATCGCCCTTGCTGTCACTGGGCAGCTCAGCTCAGCGGGAAATGCTCCTCGACCGCCTACCTTACATGGCTCACATGGCACGAACCCGAAGAACAGGTTTGAGACTACGAGATCTTGAAAAAGTCGTGTCCTTTCATGGCGTCACGGCTGCCGCCGATGAAGAATTCGAGGCAGAGGATGATGCAACGCTGGGCGAGGCTTGGGCTACAGACAAACCCTCGGAAGAATCAAGTCCACGCAAGAAGACTGCGCGGATTAAAGCAGGCGGCATGTCCGGCATGTTAGATCAAAAGTTAGTATTAAGCGACGATGATATCGAGGATTGAAAGAGGGCGTGCGCTTTTTTTTACTGTACTACTATATTTAATTTCCACACCAACGGCTGGGGTAAGCAGGCAGCACTTGAGGCGTTTATGACGAGCATGAGCTAGTTGCGCGGGATATGGGGCTCCCGACAGCACTCGAGAGTGCTTGTCCCAGGTACTTGAGCACGGTGCTCATCAATTTGCTTGTTTCTGTCACACAGAAGGTCCAGATCTTGTTCACGCTCTTGTTGGTAAAGTTTGGCGATCCAACTTGCAACTCAAGCTGTCATGTAAAATAATAGTACCCAAAGGCGTCAATGGGGCCCGCACTACCAACATTGAACCAGCAGCAATCCATTCATGCAGCCAATATGTACGTCCCCGGCATCATCCAAAGTCCACCAGCAAGCTACTTGTAATTGTATATTACTAGTACTACGGAGTAGCTCGAGCTGGTTTGGTCTTGCACATGTGCGGTTTGCCACATCTGCAGGTGCTCGGACCCGCGTGTGCCACCAGGGAGGGGGCAAGAGAATGGCGGCTGGGCCCCGGCCAGGCCCGAAAGAAGGACCACCCGACCAGCTCCATAGTAATAATCACAACCTGAGGCTGAGGCGCCGTTTGCGGTCTGCCAGCCAGAGCGCGTTACAAGCTGCGACTCGACTATGGAGTACTGGTCCGAGAGTCCAGTTACAGGGACGCAGCATTTGGATTCCAACGAGGGTGCCCTGTCCGTCTCGACCTGTTCGTCCCATCCATCGACCCTGCAGCGAGCTAAATCAAGCCACCACGCTTCTTCCATGCCCTCGCCGCCGGGAAGGAAAGTAATTGCGGAACAGCGGCTATTATGGAATTGGGCCACGACAACGCCGTCAGTTTTTACCCGACTTGTAAACGCCGCGTGGTTGGAGAACAAGCAATAAAAAAAAGGTTAGCCCACGACAGATAAAAGAGCAAAAGAAAAATAAGAATAAACAAGACACTCCTGAGAAGCGGGGCTTGGGGCCATGCCCGGACCAAAAAGCAACTGCTTTATGCAGGAGATTGCTGCACCAAGCATTTGGTTTGTTTGGGCCTACAGCACGTTGAGCACGTTGAGCGGGTTGCAAAGTACATACATACATACTTTACATACAATCACGTTGTAACAAAGGTTGCATGTACACACATACATGTATGTATGCAGCGCCGTGATATCATGCTGTACAAAGCACACTTGGCCACATGATATTGGTGCTTTCTTGCTTCGGCGCTGGCTCCGCAACCCACAAACCCAGCGCCCGAGAGTCGTGATGAAACAACATAACCTCGCCGCATTCATCAATACGCATCACGGTAGTTCTAGACAAGGGTGGATTCGGGACAAACGTGCCCAGCTCGTGGACGGGCCGTTAAATTAACAACAGTCGTGTGTCTACCCGACTACCTTTAATGTCTTGCATCTCCATCATCCCATCGAATTCCCCCATACAAGTAAAATGACTCCTTGAACTTCCAGTACGCGCAGTCAAATAATCAAACAGGGCCTCTCCCCTGTGCGTCCATAGTTCTCATCGTTCGTTAACAGACCAGGTCCCTCAAAGTTCAAACAAAGAAAATAAGAAAAACTCGCTTCAAGTAGTAAAATGATTGTCAGATTCCGTCAAACTCCTAATGGCATGGTGTGACGTTGGTTGAGGTGAACCGTAAGCAGACCATCTATACATTATCGCTTCTAAATGACCAAAATTTGTCATCTGGCGTCAGAATCGTGAAGTTGGGCATGGGAAGAATGAAAAGCAAAATCGAGACAGCAAAAGGGTATAAGCGCAGCGAGAGCGATGAAGGAAAAAAAACTCATTTCGTGACATCAGTTCTGAGATGGGCTTGCTTGCTCATGTATTTGTGTCTTGTGTTTCGTGTAGCTTGTGTATGATGTACACATGTGCGGGATTGAGTATTATTGCGATTTCGGGACGTGTAGATAAAAGGATTCGTAAGCCAAATACGGCGGTGGCATCTCTCGAGTAGTTCAGGCCGATATCAGCACAAAATTATGACCGACGCACACGGTTCCAGAATCTCTTCATTACGCCATTGTCATTTGCCAGTAGGTCTTCTTGATCCATAGTGGCAAGCTGCCGTTCAATGCTTTCTTTCGAGTGTCCTTCTCGGGTAGTAGACACTGGCGACAACGGCTCCTCTCTGGCCTGAGATTTTCGTCCATTGGAGGTCTTTTGCCAACCATAGATTTGATCCTCATTTGCGCGAAGATCAGGCCGTGTCAAGGTCATACGGAGTGTCATTTCCCGACATGCTGCTGGTGCTTGAGCATAACCGGCCGTGTTTGATATGTCGTCCTTCTCTTGGCTAACGCGAACTGGTTTGACTGATAGAGATTTCTCCATTTCTGGGGTCCTAGGCGACTCGGGCTCCTTAGTAGAGGCCCCATCACTGTAGACCGAGGATTTGTCATCCTCAGGAGAGCCATTTGACTTGGCCATGGAGTTAGTTGACTGTCCTTGTGACAAACTTGCCCTCTTACGTCGTGGGTAATTTTCGCTGCTCTGTACTTCCTCAATTGATGGAAAACCAAATTCAACGGCCTCGTCAAATTTGTGTGGCGAGGCAAGATACACTCGGAGCTTCATCCTTGCGTCTGGATCCTGGTAATGTGCTGCTGCGGCATCAATCGAGACAGGTGCATCTGGAACTGGCTGCTTGTTAGGCGAGATGAGAGAAAGAGCCCGTGATCTTCGGCGAACATGGCCAAGAATAGGTGAACTTGGGCTTGAGACAGGTGATCCCATCAGTGGCGGGCTCACAGAGGTGTCCTTGGTAGTTGGTCGACTCAACGTAGACGAAGCACGACTGCTGAAAGGAAGCTTAGAAATGGACATGTGCCGTCTAAATGACGGCCGGTGCTTCTCAGCCAACACATCCTCGCCTCGTAAATTGAAATGATGGTCATCGAGGCACAACTTCAAATCCAGGTCCTCCTCCTCCTCTAACCAGCGGAACGACTCATACATGGAATCGGCAGTAGACTTGAGATCCGGGGCCGCAGTTGTGGTATTAGTAGAAAGCGACACCATGCTGCCAGGATTATGTTTCGGACTCGTCGAACTTCTGGGTAGACTTTCAAATCGCAATTGCCGTTTTCCCATTCGAAGGATCGATTCCTCCGTTGCATCCGATATCATACTCTGTCCCGAGCTCTGTCCCCTCAACTGGTCACAGCTAGCGTAGCGATTTCTGCTAAGGCGATTCCCTGGACTGGCATATATCCGCAATGCGTTGCCTTGAGGCCGGCGATGGGGAGCGTTCTCAAGTTCGTCCTGTCCAAAGCCAAGTCTGAGAGGCGGTCTGTCTTCCTCGTCACAAGACAAGGCAAAAGAGAGACTATCAGAGCTCTCCTGGCCAGAATTGTCTATTTCTTGGTAATCTTGCCCTTGAGTGATCCGGAGGCGCTCGAGCGTTGAGAAGTACTATTCGGGATCAGGAGGTAATTAGTGTTTGTGTCAAACATGGAAAACGACTCATCTGGACGGATAAGGGGGAGAAGGAAACAGGAAGTAGCGATCATGAAAGGGATGGATGGGATATACATATGGCTAGATCTCGGGTTGAGATTACCATGTCAGAGGCAGTTGTGCTAGAAAGGGAATGGCATGTTTCAACGCAGGAACGAGCCCTGACACACACCACGGGTAACCATATGTCAAGAAAGCGGGTACGTTGCGGTGACATCGTGAACTGCGGCAAACTAAAGGGCCATATTGCGTTTGTACTACTGTACTATGTCGTACAAACCAGCACAATCATGTACTATTAGCCCAGAGCAATTCTCCATCTTCCTGGCACAAGGACAACAGGGACACCCCTAATTACCCAGCAGCCACAACCGACAGTCTGTTAGATTAACAGATTGCTCTTGGGATGACCAGTTACGCAAGCTGGTCCGTCCCTGGCTGGTCAGTTTTGAACCGAGGGTGTGAGGGAACGTGCTGTCGTGGCCCGAATGGTGCTTGACCGCTGGAACTAGTACGGAGTACGTCCAGCCCAGGCCCACAGCACAGTCCTAGTTCTCCGTATGTGGAATGGCCTTGGTCTGAATATGACTTGTGACGAAAGTGTGGAGGGTAGGAGGATGCAGGGACAAAAGCAAATAGGGAACGCTTAGAACCCTTTCAGCGAATGAGTCGCGCGGGGTGTTGTTGGACGGCCAAGGGCACTTCTGCTTGCGAATCAGACAAAGCACGACTGTTGCAAGTACTCCGCACGCCGTACAGAGAACACATGGGGTGTTGGATTTGGGCCTGCTTTGGGTTCATCCCTGGTCAACATCTCATGGCTCACCGCCGTGGGCCTGACCGTGCATTGCATTTGCAGGGGAGGACCGAACAATATTGGGGCCCAGGGGATGGGTAAGGGCAGGGAGTACGACAAGAGCCGTAAAAGGGCGAGGTAAACATGTGCTCGAGCCGGGGCAATTATTAGGAAGAAAATACTAGAACAAAATAAAATAAAAAAACAAGAAAGAAAGAAAAATGAAAAGAGATGACGACATAAGCGGAAGCAAGGATGATGACTTGAACTAGACGGAAAGTGACAAGGAGGCGCCCTCGTGAGGTTGAGGGAGTAGGCAGAGCGGCGTAGCAATCATACTTAATTAGCCAAAACGACCAAGATCAGCAACTTGCAGCCAGTGCACAGATAGCGGAAGCAACGATATGCCAAAGTTGCGCCTGCTGCAGACAAAACTGGCATCTCGTACTTTTTTTGCGACTGTGCCTGGACCTTCCGCCTTTGTCTATGTGCCATCAATATGCGGATTGCTTCTTTGCAGGACCATCCTAAAGGAGTACATGCCAGGCTCGGGCTGAGAGCCTGTCAACTGGTGACTCCTGTGTGTCCGTCTTGTCAAGTCTCCAATTCAATCACTTGCTGCTCTGTTCTCGATGCGTCTTGCTCCAGTGTTCTTAACTTACTTTGCGTTGAATAGTAGGTGGCAGTGCCTCGAATTCATCCCTCGTCAGGGCTGGAGACCGTGGCAGGCCATCTGAGGATGATACTCTGCCATGGCAAGAGCTCCGCAGAGGCTTGAATGTTTGCATAGGGTTGCATCTTTGATTTGAGCTTCTAGATTGAGGCTTTGGGGGTGGTGGTACAGCTTTCTTGACGACCTCGTTGTTCATGAGCCTTATGCTACTATAGCAGTGATGCTGTGTGTTGCCCATATGTGAATGTTCGGTATCGTCGCCGCCGTCAGTAAAACTGTCTCGCACTCGTCGTCGACGAAAAGGACCTCCGGCATTCGGCAGAATGTAGTGTCGGTTTCGGCTTCTTGTGGAGCTATTGGAACTGGTACATGATGTCTCTGTCCTGATAGACATTGGAAATGTCGCAAGGCTATTGGAAGAGCCAAGTCTAGCTTGGTGGCCATTGTCCCTGGCGCTACACGTGCTAGCGATAGACTCTAGCTTTTCAATAGTTGAAGGCGCATTAGCTGCCATGATGGCTACCGCAGCAGGAACCGAATCCAACAACAAGAAGCTGGAATGGTAGTAGTCGGCATGGTCGTGCTCGCCGGTCGAGAGAGAAAATGAGCTCTTGGTTGGAGAGTCGAGATCGAGAAAGCTTTTCATGTCCTGATAGTAGACGGGAGAAATGGGATAAGCCAAATGGAGATTGCCGTTGTCGTCGGCCTCCCAGGCCCGGCTGTTGTCGACCTGAGCCATGCTAGCCCAGCAACCGAGCTATCGCCCAAAAACGTACGACTCTAATTAACTGACTGGGTGTCAAGTATGTACCTGTGTGTACTCAGTAGTTGTGACTGGATAAATTTGGATGCAACCCCGTTCTTAACAAACGGAGCAATTGACAGGGCCCAGGACGCTCCCCAATCTGATCCTTCGCACTTGCAAGCTCCTTGCAGTCTTCCCAGACGCTGGACTGGGTGAGAAGAAATCTTGCAGACTGAACGACAAGAAATGGTGGGGGCTTGCGAGCTGTACAGTGTACAACAGAATATGCCGTACAATTGTATTATAGAGCCCACAGTCAAGGTAAAGCCTGGGAGAAAAGACTGTACGAGATGCTTGGCGATGCCAAGGTTGTGCTCGATTAAGGTAATCAGGGCAGGGGAGGGCAATACCGCAAAATGCCCAAGCACTTACCCTTGTGTCCGGATTGTTCAAAGTTGCAGCAAGCCGAAAAAGAGCATGTCGCTAGCAATGATCTGAATCTGAGCAACAGGCTCGCCATCCATGTCGTTGAAGGGATGGGTATAAGTCGGTTGGTGGTTTGTACGGAGAATCTGTAGAACGTCAAAAGTTGATGGCGTGGGCAGCGATATCTTGATGTATTATTTTCTTTTGCACTGGCATCCGGGGCAGGTTGCACAGACACACTGGTATTATACACAGGACTCTGACAGTACGAGCATACCAGACAACAGTGCACCGAGTACACGGAGCACAAAGTGCAAGAGCGGCTGGCCGTGCCTGCATCCGAGTCGGTATCAAGCCCCCTTCTTCCCACGCCTCGCAAAGCACGATTGTGAACACACATGATCCGGTCAGGCCATCTCCATGACAAGAACGACGTTGCAGCCAAGAAAAACTTTTAATACGCCTTATACTCAGCCAGCTCAAGGATGACGGTGGAGGTAACGGCCCCGGCGGCCCACGGGCCAAGACGCATCCCCATTGAAGCGAACAATGTGGCAGCTCCAGAACAAGCACCGACCAGAAGATCGTCACGGAGAAAACTTGTGGCACTCGGCAACGAACATTGTGTACATACTCCGTATGTACGTACGTCTGGACGGAATACTCAAGTCCAGCTCCGCGGGGAAGTGCCACCGCTGGTGGCCAGGGTCATGGAAAGTTAGGGGAAAAGCACCAGACTCAACAGGTGAAGCTTGAGCTCCGGCCACGTCGTGGTTCCAGAGATCTTGTAGGTACGCTCCACACCTGCAGCTTCTTCGCGTTCTGTGCTCAATGGTGAGCTTGGTCGATGTTCGTTGAAATCTTTTTTACGGAGTATGTAAGCCTAAAAATATGAGCTATCCCCTCTCGCCTTTCAAAATGACAGAAGATGAACACGAACTCTGAGACTGGGGTTTTGTGGCTTGCTGAGCGGCCGCAAACACCAAAACAGCTAACCGAGTCTTCAGGCATAGTTTTCCGTCACACGCATAGAAAGGCTGAGAAGCACAATTTCGCTTACTCAACGTTGTGATACGACTACTCCGTACGAGGTACAGAGTGCTTGGCCTTTGGCAACAAGGAAGTCCAGATCATGTCTTGCAAGCTGCCGGCCACTCAACATTCGCCAGGGTAGAGCCCCTAAATGTGGCTTGGCTAGACAGAACAAGAGCCACCTAAAAATAAAGAAATATAAGACACGGCTACGTACTACTACTGCGATCCGACGCTAGGCAGTTCTCCTGCGCTTTCCGACGCAATCTAGGAAACAAATTTATTGGTTTTTGCAAGTCTGCCCAGGATATATTACGAGTCTGGTCTGGACCTTCAAAATGAGGAGCAGCAACAGCCGACGGGATGTCGTGGATACCATGTACGGAGTAGGACAAGTCATGAGGAATGCAGTTGCATAGCTAGGTTGCTTCCATGTGCCGAAGCAATCATTTAGCCAATCCTGACTGCCACCACCTAGTATTATTCTTCATAGAAGAAACATTTGTTGTATAACAGAGCAGCGCACTTGGGGCCGAACAGCATATAGGCTCGCACAAGAGGCCATCTCACAGCATAACACAACATACGTATCAAAAAGTGCCACAACGTCATCGAGGTTAGCAGGTTCTCGTCTTTATGAGGGGCATTGCACCGATTCTCTCGTCACTTGTGCTTGACTCGCTTTTAGTTGAGCACTTGCGTCAGCTCGTTCATCCACACCATGGACACTGTTACAGCGTTGTCCGTAGAAGCGGTTCATGTATCACAAGAATTATACTGAGTGATGGGAGACGAAACAAACCAGACTCTTGGGCTTGGACTTGGATTGAAATACGGTTCTCCGGCAAGCGTTGAACATGATCGCAACCTTTCGTCGCTTATCTCGATGTGTAGGCTCGCCTACTGTGGTGTTCTAGCATCTAGGAGTTGAGGCACTTATTCTACTACCCTTTCTAAGAAACGTGCATGGGTTTGGTCCCCAAGGCCAGCCGACAACTGCCGAGTACTCGCTTGTCACAATCTTGTCAGGTACTTACAGCCTACAGTGGTCTCCAGTCGGTATGTGCCCAACCCGGAAGCCTTGATAGTAGACGTTGCATTCCGCCGAGCTTCTAAGACGTTGTTGTAAGCTGAGAAGAAAAAGGCACGAGCGATGCTCCCCCTTGATTCCCTTAGCAAATCCAGAGAATACCTATCTGGATTCGCATACGTAGTCCGCAGTAGACCATGTATCACAGCAGGGGGAGAGGACATGATTGTCTCAACGGCGGGTGTCAAACGGTTCCCTTTTCTTGTTGTCTCAAACATAAATTTTTGCTCTTCCACGTTTTCTGTAACCGCCAGTTGTTTCGGTGTAAGACGTCCTTTTCCACAGTATAAGCTCTGGCTCATACCAAGGTTCCTGTCATCAGCTTCTCCCGTCAAGCACAGCCCGCACGAGAGGAGATGACGATTGTACTTGCTAGGTATTAACCGTGTTCAAGCCGGGGCCAACCGTACGATCAGGGGTCCAATTCAAGATCCTCAGCCACCGCAGGGGGCATCGTCTTTCCCAAATTTTTCGGCAGCTGTCATCAATGATTAATGACACCAGACAAAAACGCCATATAATCAAACCTGACGTCTAATACAAAAATACGGTGAACGTGTTCATTATTCAGCCACACTTTACCCCACGTGGCGGCTTGAACAGGCTACGAAGACGGCAAAACAGCACCGACAACATATGTAAGATACCTTGTACGGAGTAAAGGCACAGATGTTGCGTCGGCATTTGTGAGTCAGGGACGTGCAAAGTCGGAAGAATATCAAGTCGGTGGCGGCGCTGTCAGTGTGTCAGCCCGTCAGCCATACAGCAGAGGTGACCGTTGCGCGTGATGATGACGTCCAGAAGTCTCAAGGGGATGGATTAGTTCAGTCATTCTCGATGATAGTAATTACATCAAGACATAGTCATTACGGCAAGTGATTTCATATGTACAAATTGCATACTATTCAGCAGGAGACTATCCCAACTTCGTCAAGTAATATACCATGGTCTCACATATGGCTTGTCATTTTAAAACTTTTGCCGGCTCTGCTCTGAACAAGGACAGGCGACGTCTTCTAGAAGTCTTGGCCGGAAATTCAACCCCCCACAAGTTCATTTCAGCATAAGCCCCCAACGAGGGAAATTTTCCGTTAAAGAGGTCAAGTTCTTTGAGGGAGGGGTGTGTCGTGGACTCATCAATGGTCCCGTCCCTGTTTATGTGCGCCCCCTGGAAGTATGGTAACATCATCTCTTGCAGTACCACCGAGAAATTTCCATATTATGCTCGAGTTATACGCCGGGACACTTGAATAGTTTCTCACCCAGATATCAGGGGATATCTTACACGGATGCAGTTGACTTCGAAGTGCCGAGGGGCATCATGGCTCGGCAGAGCTTTCGGTACTCCCTACAACCCCATGTACTACTTGCTCTGCAACGACAAAGAAGCTTGTACGTACTTAAGTACATACATGTACATACATGAATCGTTTGGTCCCTGCCATTACAGTGTCTACAGTAGGCCGCCAACAAAAAAGCCCGACCGGCAATTTGATTTCTCCACAAGCCAAGTCTTGTCGGGAGACACGCTAAATGTCCGAGCCATTTATCTATGTATTTTTACTTATTTTCATCTTTTTTATTTTTTATTACAAGCGAAGTGCCCCATGCCGGCCCAAGGCAGCGTCCCACCACGCGACAGGGTCAGAGATCGGTTCAAAATTGGGTGCAAAGTCGTGGTCAAAACACCCCCTCTCATGACCGAGTGCGATGGCGTTTGATAGCAGAGTCCTGTACAACATCAGCGAGCACTCTTTCCAAGTCGCATGTACGCATAGGCCGAGGGCATCATGACATATTATTGCTCCTGTCAGCCGGAGACAAGATGTTCAATTTCTCCAAGGCAGATGTCATGCCATAGCGCTGCTGCCCGCCTACTTCCACACTCCTCGTCAACGGGCCACCGCTCTCGCAATCGGCATCTGTAAAATCGGATGGGAAATTGATCGCCTTGACATGCCAGTCAATAAGCAGCAGCATGCTCGCAATAGCACCCGTTGACCTGGTGGCCATCGACCCCCAGTGCCCACATGACCGATTGCAAGTACTTTTGCAATATTCTCTACGACTGCCGAGCGTATCTGTGCATGACTCCCCACAAACACGGCGTACCTTGAAGATATTGTAATGAGGCACTTACTAAGAAGGGGCTCCTCTGCAATCAGCCGGTGGTAATATGACGGGTCCTGTCCTTGTAGTACGTTGGCACGATGGGTTTCAGCGGCCATAATTTCTCAAAGAAGAAGCCAAAGGACTGAACAGCCTCGCTCTTGGATAGTAGATCCTTATTTATCAGGGTGAAACTATTCCGGATCCTTTGCTCACCGGCTGACTCTCCACGGGCCTGCTGTTGGTTCGGTTCCTGGCTTGACATCCTTGTTAACCCGGTAAGTCGGGGCGTAGTCGCCGAGCAGCCATTCAAGTCGTTGGCATCTTGGGTACTAGTAGTCCCAGCAAACGTCAACAGATCCAGGGCATCCACGGCATTGTGCAGCTGCGCTAAGACCATCTTGTTCTGGCATCTAGGGGCGCAGCCGACGAGTTCGGCGAATACCGGATTTCATGGCTGTGTTCTGACGACGCTTCTTCCGCGTTGCGTTCGAGTCCTGTGGTCTTGAATAGCGTTGCAGTGCTCCTCTGCCGAAAGTTGTAAGCCGGCGACGTTGCCGATACGTCGTCCTAGTTGCTCTTGGGCGAGGGCCCCTGTCTCGCTTGCGTGGGTGAATGTGGTATCCGAATGAAGCATGAAGTGAAGTCAACACATGATGACGACGGTCGGATAATCAAGGCATTAGACCCCACAATGGTTGTATGGCGGCGGGATTGGCTGTCTCGGCTCAAGCATCCGTGGTTGCTACTGACGACATGATCAGCTTAGGAGAGCTATTCTTACTTCGACTCTACCGTGTTGCAATTTTAGCCATGCCCAAGTCACAGCTGCTTTATTGGCACTTGAACTGTCTCTTGATCGATCAAATATGTCACTATTTTAATTATACGTCACGGACTCACGGCTAATATCTACTCATCGAAGACCTTCCCTGGGTTAAGCAGCCAGCTATTATCTTATTAGTCACGGTTCACATTCGAATATTGGCAATACTCACTGGGGATCAAGAGAGTCCTTCAAAGCTTTCATGACTCCCAGCGTTGCACCATCAAGCTCCTTTGCCAAGCAATGCTAGTGAAATTGTTAGTAGACAATGTCATGCGCCTGCACCAATCTCGGGGGATTTGATTACATACCTTTTTTCCGAGTCCGATACCGTGCTCTCCCTTCGGGGTAATTAGACAACCAAAGTTTGATACATCTTGGATCAGACAGGACTTACTGAGACCGTTCCTTCCATTGCGATAGCACCCTCCACCATCAAGTTGACACAGTCTGTAACCGCCTTCTTCTGTTCGGGAATGTTCGGGTTATACATGATCATCTGATGAAAGTTTCCATCGCCGACATGCCCTATGATGCTGTTAAATAGTCCAAGCTTTCTTGCTCTCTCCTGAGACAATTCTACTCTTATTAGCGCGATCCCGTCCCAGGTGAATGGAAGACACTTGCCGATCAAGTCAGCCATTCGCGACAGCGGAACAGCTACATCTGTAGACCAAACTTCGGTGCCCTCCGGCTTCACCGCTAAAGACGCCCACAGTACTTGCTTTCTTGCAGACCACAGGGCCTCCATTTGTTCGGGGCTACTGGCAAATTCGAATGATTTGCAGTCAAAGGATTTGGCAACCGTCTGGGCGGATTTTATATTGTCCTTAACTGTGGCATCTGTTCCTGAGAATCTGTCCGAACATGGTTAGAATATTCAAGGCTTTTGTAAATATTGGAAATGGAAGCATCTCTTTTTTTATCTTACTTGATGAATAGAGTTGGTAGTTCTTTCCACATTCTACCCCCAGCACCTCCGTTTTTGTTAATTATTTGCATTTGTACGTCATCCATGAGCTCAACAGCGGCCACAGGTACACCAGACCGAACGATTGAAGCCGCTGCAGTTGCAGCTTGTCTGATATTCTGAAACGTGACAGTTGCAACGCTGTGGCTAGATGGCACAGTCGCTAGTTTCAGCGTAATCTCAGTAATGATGCCCAAAGTCCCTTCGGAGCCGGCAAAGAGGCCGTTCAAATTGTAGCCGGCAGAGGTCTTTCGGGGTCTGTTACGGGTCTTGATGATGGACCCATCAGCGAGAACCACCGTCAGGTTGACCACATAATCCTTCATGGTGCCATATCTCGTGGCATTGGTACCGCTGCAGTTTGTCGAGACCATTCCGCCGACTAGGGCTGTCGGGCTGGGATCTGGGGGGAGGAACAGTCCAGAATTTTTGAGGTCATTGTTGAGATTGGTCCAGTTAACACCTGGTTGGACCACCACGTCCATGTCTTCGGCGTGTAGTGCTACAATATTATCCATGGTAGATAGATCAATGCATATGCCAGAGTACGGGGAGCTGAAGTTACCTTCGACGCTTGACCCTGCGCCATAAGGAACCATTGGCACCTTGTACTTGGTACATACTCTAGCGATGGTTGATACTTGCTCTGTTGATTGGGGTCGAACAATGGCAACTGGTCGAACTTCTGTGTTGGAAGTAGACCATTCGGAGTAGCCGTGCTCTTCCAGGTCGAATTCTTCTACACTGACTGCATCCTCGCCTAGTATTGATCGTATTTCGTCAACCGCCTACGTGAAGAAGAAAAAATTAGCATTCGAATCTGAAATGCTTCGTTTCCCAGCGTACCTTCAGCATGGTTTTCTTGTCGGCGTATTTGCGAGAGAGTGCGCCACGGCTTCCAAGTACATCCCGCCATCGAGGAGTGACGCCCGATAACACTCCCTCAGAACGAGGCCCTAGAAAAGAAGCACCGGCAGCACCGCCAATTAGCAGGCCAGCTCCGAGATACAAAAGAGTCCTGGAGCTTCCATTTTGTGTGGCCGAAGAGGTGGAAGCAAGACGAATTGGTCGAAGTTGCCGAGCTACCCTGAGGCTGGACGGCGTCCTCGCTCTAAGCAATCGCGTGGCTAGCTTCATAGTTCTCCCAGGGCATAAAGAATTACCCAATTTAGTTATCACCTAAGATCAACGAGTATATATTGAGGCTTGCGAATGTTCTCAATAGTTTGCTACATGGCTCGGCAGCCCAGAACTGAGGGAGGAGGATGGCGAGGCGAGAATTCAAATACGTAGCAGGTTGACGACAGAGCCAACCTCCCCGCGATTTACTGCCCTCAATTGGACGGGTCAGCTGGCAGCACTGCACATGTGAGCAGTTCCGTTGGAATTCCTTCATCCCCCGGGCCAGCTTTCAGCGACCAGTAAGCAGCCCTCGGAAATGGCTGACCGAACGAGCCGGGGAAGGTGCAGGGGTCGGATACATGCCAATCGGAATAGCGTCGACCGGTCGGAATGTGTGGGTCGCGACCCAAGGATAAGTTTATTTAGGAAACATTGAACGCTTCGCCGCGCGTAACTGATGTGACCTCTGGTCTTGACGCCACCGATGTCGTTCAAACGGTGATTGCCGATGTTGTGCTGCGGGGGGAATCCGGGGTAGCCTTGGTTGCTATGTAAAGGGCTAAAGGGCTAAAGAAAAAACTTATCTTGAGCCATTTATAAGCTGTGCTGTCCGTACCTGGTTAGGAAACTACCAGGCATTTTCCATTCCCTTACCCTTCTCGTTACTCCTGTATTGCTATCATGTTACGGGAGCCAAAGTATAGCTTAAGAGTTGGTTAAAATCCTGACCGTGGCGTCGATAGTGTTAGCGTAGAAGAAACGTCGCCCTGAGAAGCCCCGTCTTTTGCCGAGATTGACGGCACGACCAACCGACGACTTCTCCGAACGATTGACTGGAAGCTAATGCCTGTCGTATGCATCCCCATCTCATAAATCCTAGCTTTACTTACATTCCGAAAGACAAGTCAACTAGTACGTATACTGCATCCTCTAGCAGCATCTTCAGCTTTGCGCTGCATATGCACTTCAGTACTATGACAAGGACATTCTTGGCCAGGCCGTCATCTTTGGCCGCTGGTACACCCACTCGGCACAAGTATTGCGGTCCAGCTACTGGTATTCCTTCAGTGGCGGCTCACTCCTAGTATCGCCCCTCATCAACTACAGCCTGGGCCACATATCAGGAGGCCCAGTCCATCCATGGCAATACATGTATCTCATCGCTGGTGCGATTACCTTTCTTTGAGGCATTGTACTTTGATAGGTGTTTCCAAACACACCTCACAATGCCAAGGGCTTCACAGAGGAGGAGCGAAAATTGTTGGAGGAACGGGTTCGGGCCAACAATGCCGGAGCCGAAAACAACCACTTCAAACCTTACCAGCTAAGAGAAGCGCTAACTGATCATCATCTCTGGGGCATAATAACCCTGCCCATGGTATCTTTCACGGGCTCAGGTGTCGTTACTGCCTTCGGCTCTATAATTTTCAACAGCATGAGAATCGACGTCTTCACATCTCTGTTGTTGAATCTGCCGATTGGTGCTCTGGCCTTCATTTGTATCCTCGGATCAGGATACTTGGGTCGCATTGTACCCAATTCCCGGTTCTTCATCATCGCTGCGTCCTGTTTCTTTGTGATAATTGGATGTGGCCTTCTTTGAGTAGAACCTCAGTCATGGTTCTCCGTGGCACGCTTTGTGACTGACTGATTACGCGTCAACGACGGATAGGTGGCAACTGCCTGATACTAATCGGGGTGGTCGTACTGCCGGCTTCTACTTGATCAACTTTTTCTCCTCCTCGTGGGTTCAGTGCATTGGCCTGGGCACATCAAATGTGGCTGGACACACCAAAAAAGCTGTATATGCCGCAGGAACCTTTATTGGCTTCTCCTTGGGCAACATCACGGGCCCCTTAATTTTTGATGCGTAGGTGGCTGTCGAAATTTAGAACTTATAACCTGTCCGAACGGGCTTCTCCGACGTGATGTCTAGGAAATGGGTTCCACGATACGATCAAAGCTTTATTGGTGTTATGGCCTGTTTTGCCGCGTGTTTTGTTGTGGCCCTGGGTCTGCGGTTCGCGCTGGCGAGAGAGAAGCAAGAAAAAGAGCGCAATCATGGTCCACCGGAAAGAACTCATGGTTTACAAGATTTAACAGACCGTGAGAATAAGTCCTTTCGATACAACTTGTAACAGGCTCGCAATGCGGACGAAGTCGATTGCGTGTGCTGTTTCGTGGTCTCTGCTAAGGGGTTATGATGTGAAATCGCGTTGAAGAAATATATAAAAGATGCACCATACTATACACGAAAATGTACCCCGTACATTTCACAAAGCCAAGGCACGTCTCCATGGTTGACATATGCGTAACCGGCAGTTGCTGCGTGTGTAAGTGATGCAGATTGAGTCAGGTCCGATTGATTGTCGTCGATTTTTGCCTTGAATGCCGATATTTTGCCGTGGGCACGGCCACACTGTGAGCTAGGCTGTGCAGCGACCGCGCGCCAGTTAGTAGTTACCTCATGCGTGTCATTGAGAGAAAGATCTCGTCTGCCAATCATCGACCATTTTGTTTCTGTCCGCTGCCTGCACACCTTCACAGCCTTTCCATGCGCAGGCTGCATCGCTGAGTTGCTAGCGCCAAAACTCTTCTAATACCCTTTGTTTTCCTTTTCTTTCTTGATGTCTTTGTTTCTTTGACGCTTTTTATCGATACGCTATTTGCTTCCAACCTGATTGACCTTTAGATACCCATAGTGCACTTGGACAAACCCGCTCAGATGACAGCCGAGAAGATGCCTCTCATACTGGATAATTCCATGCAAGTAGACCTCGACAATGTCGATGACTTGTTTGGCGACGATGTCCCTCTCTCTATTCCTGTCAGACCCCAGGGCAAACAGCTGCAGCAACGGCTAGATGAGCTGAGGAACCGAGGCGCCTGCCAGTATGAAATTTTACTCACGCGTAGCCTCTCACGAAATCACCATACTAACTGTTGTGCAGAGCTGTCGCGTGGTCCAAGTCTGGCACAATAGCCTCATTGGCTCCCGATGGTCTGACTCTCGAGCTTCGATTCTTAAGATGCCATCCGGACACCGGGGCTTGGGAGCTCAGTGAGCCGACCACTTGTGACCTTGTCAAGGGAACGCCAGCAATTCCCCTGGTGCATTTGGAATGGGGCACGACAAACACTCCGGATCTAGCTGTAATAGATGCGGCTGGAAGAGTTGCTTTGGTGAGCTTTGCCATTTCGTTGAACCACCCCTTCATAACCAGAAAATGGGAGACGGACACGATTGACGACCTCCATGGAATCGCTGGCTGTTACTGGCTCCCTGTGGCCCCAACAAATCAGCAGGTGAGTTTTTCTTCTCCTTTTATTGGCCATATGTTCGGAATTGTGTTGTCGAAATTTCTGACTTGTCCAAGAAACCGTTCAACGTAATGTACGGGCCGGCAAATAAGAGTGGAAACGGGTATCAATATGAAAGCTCCTTCGTACATGCTATAGGGCCAAATCATCCGCATTCGGCCAAGAGCGCTCTTTTCTGTGTGAGCTCTGGGGGTATGTTGAAGATGTACTGGTCACAGAACAACGGCCGCATGGAGGAGACAACAATGGAGCTCGAGAGCATAAACACATCTGACGAGCTTGTCACGCATGCAGCTTTTGCTTCCGATAAAAGTGAGTGGGCTCTGTCTTTTCTAAACAACCACAAAATCCCTACATCAGACGGCTGAATGCAATATAGAACACCTGCTCGCTGCTGTTGCAACCTCGTCTCGGCAATTGAAGCTCCTTAAAATCGAAATACAGTGGGGGGGACCTGGTTCCTCTTCAGAGAAAATAACCATGCCCCAGAATGCAAGGTTAAATCCTGCTCTTGTGGAAACACATATTGCATCGGCCAGCTGGTTATATGCTGGCCCCAACGAAACAAATTATGACGCTTCGATGGCTGAACTCTCCTTTTTGCATGTCTTGCCGGCCGTAATGGACAACACTGGCTCCAGCACAGTTCCGCCATTGATCATGACTGTGAGGTCGAGGAATGTGGGTGATGGATCTTTCCAATCAGCCCAGAGCGTCTTGGATCGATGGGAAGCCATCGAATCCAAGCAAAGTCTTGATTCTGCCTTTGAACAGCTGGGAAATCGGAGAAACAGTGTTTCGTCGGACCTGCCAAACACCATAAAGCTTAAAAAACTGGAATCCATCGTGATCAACAAGGTCGTCATTGGAATTCAGGATATCCAGTACAGAAAAGTCCTTCTTTTGACAATGTCAGATGGGTCGATTGAGTATCGAGATCGATTCACGTTCGAAGAAATATATGCGAATGAAGATCTCACTAAAGTCATGACCTTGCGACAGGTTGGATGGACCTTTTCCGATAGCGGACCATGTAAGTCTTGCCATGCATACATTTGTTTGCATATATTGAAGAATACGGCTAACACCAAACAGGCCATCAAGTCGCTTTCTCCCCGACTTGCTGTTCCATGATACAGATTGGAGACGATGCAAAGGTCCGGTGGAACAAACTTGAGTATCCATTAGGTGACATTGGCAGCTCTCCACAAGATCGTAGGTTATAATTCTGCTTATTGCGTACGGAAGATGGCCTAACGTGGCTTAGCCCATTATCCTGCTACCATTGCAGCATTATCCATCGCAGCGGCATCTTGTCTGTGGCATCAGAGCAATTGTGATGATCTTTTAGCTGTTGTACAACATCTGGCAACAAGAAAGAGTAAGCATTTGCCATTGAGAAACCGGCTAATTAAATCCGCGAAATTAACGTCAGGCAGGATTTTTACCCGACTGGATCAGTGAAATCATTCGAATTCTGAAGATTCAAGTCGATTATTCTGAGGAGACGCACCATGACTCGCTTATGAGGAACTCTCCGCTGCAGTCTTGCCTCAGCATAATGAGTAGCTTAGGGTTTCGGGGGGAAACTCGTAGACGATCATTTCAGAGCAAATTTGCCATAATCAGTCTGAATATGCGAAATGTTGTGATTCTCATCACTCTTGCAAGCAACACGCCAATGAACATCAGAGAGAAGATGAGTCCTTTGGATGAACACGGTGAGATTGATCCCCGCGCAGAGGCTACGTTGATGGACCTAGACTGATGCCAGGTTTATAGAGGTTGTGGAAGCTCTCGCAGGCTGCGCAAAGTGGTCTGTCGATCTACTGTGCTGGTTGGTTGACTGTCTATTTGAGCTGATGAATGATGACAACTTCATACAACGACTAAACCCACAGCGGTTTGGGGAGTTGAACCAATACCTTCACGACAGGAACGACGTGTCACTCCACTTGTTGCTCTCATCTTCAAGTCGCAGTTTTGTATCGGCTGTATGCCGCAGAATTTCCCTCCTAGAGAACATTAGCAACAAAGCCATCGAATTTTATAAACGACAGGCATCAGGAGATCAACAGGGCGGTGCCAAACCACCCAATCCTCAACTGCAGCAAGCATACCAAAAAATGCAGCAGGTTACGTCCACGAGCCTGATTAAGGTGACAGAATTTGAGAAGTTGTTAAATATACTGGCTTCGGATATCCGGCAAACATACGCACAGTGCATACCCGGAATGGCCAGGAACCGACCCAATCCTCCCCAAGGGAAGCAGATGGACATTGCTATCAAGAACACTCAAGCTCATTTCGAGATGGCAATGTTGCTTAGTGGGTCTCTCGGCTCGTATTTCCTACCAGTGTTGAGCAAGCTCTTTGCCAAGGACCTCCCTGCGTTCCGCAAGCTCACCGATCCGGCCAAGTTGTTTTTTGCAGACTTTGAACTATTGGGAGTACAAGACGACAGGAGTAGTCTGGCTGCCAGGAAGGCCAAGGGTGTGCATGTGGACATCTTCAAAAGGACAGAGCTACGAAGCGGCTGTGGAACAAGCAGATGGAGGAGATGCACAAGATGCACAGCGGTCATGGAAGATGTGTTTGGCAGTCGCCCTGGCTTCACCTTTGTGCTTGCACAGCAGCGCAAATGTTCTTGCAGCGGGTATTGGGCATTACTGCCCAAGGGGAAACTAGTTCTGTAGTGTGGCATTCGCCGACTCTTTATTGAATGGAATACTACGACATGCACATAGAGTAGCTAGACCCTCTCGTGTTCGGGCAGGATAAGAGTTTTATTACCCATCAGTCCAACGTTACTCGACGCCCACAGTAGAGAGACCAGGAAGGCTTGTTTTGCCAAAGAACCGGCAATACAGCGCGCGGTCAAATATGTGAGTAAACGCATCCCAAGGCACCGCACTCGATTGCGCACTCCAGCATCAGAGACAACTGTGTGAGACGTAGTGGCACTAGGGGAGCATGGATTGCGTCGAAGAATAGAAGCATAATGGATCGAGCCTACATCTCTCGTCCATTGCACTCATCTACAAAGGATACAGAGCTAGCCTAGCACAGAATATTCAACAACAGCACGGAGTAATGGAAACTTATCACGCGAGCATCACCGCTATACCAAACGCAGACATCAAGAGCCATTCACACACGCTTCACACACAAAGGTGACAACTTCAAATCGATTGTTCCAAGACCATATGCCATGATTGGACGTCGATCGTCAAACAATCAACGTGATGTCTCCCATTCCAGCCAATGCCTTGGACGAGCGACAGCAGCAATGTGACTCGTTAGCGAAGGAAGAACCTACGGCATCAGTCTGATTGCAGAGTATCGTCCGGACGGAGCAGTGGTAGCACTTCTAAAAAAGACACGCCCCCGCCAGCTAATTTAAGCCAAGGCTGTGTTTGGGCCAACAGTTGAAGCCATGGCGAGGATTACTCCAAAAAGCACTTTTGGAGCGGACATGGACTATCAGACATCTGAAATTACGCGGTGGGCCGTGGGTCTTCCAATTTGGAAGTACCGAAGCTTCTGTCCGGGGAGGAAGAATAGCGAAATGGCTTCTTGGAAAGGGGACACGAGATTTTGCCCTCTGCTTTTTTCTTCATCGTGTAGTTACTAGTTACATTGTACTTACTTATGCGTCAGGCGCTCCGAGACAAGTCGGTGTGGTTCCCGACGCAGGTACGTAGCCGCGTGAGTACTCCTTAGACAAGGTGCCCATGCCCAGTGAGCCAGCCCGTGCAAGAAGATGTCAAGTGCCAGTGGAAGAAGCAAGCAAGATGCCATGAGCAGTCGTACGATACAAGGGCACGGAGATATTTTTGGTGGAGGGCCAAAAAGCAATCAAGGTTTTGGAAGAGATTTGATTTCTTGTTTTTGGCAGGGAAACAACATTTGGGACCTGGTACTCCGTACTCGGTACTCGTATGTATGCATGCTTCACTTTGTGTGGTTGATAACCCTGATGGTTTCTGAAGCATCTGCTAGGTTGCTTGCGACTGGTTGACGATGCCATCTTGATAGACCAGCGATGGAAACCCAGTTTCTCCAGTGCTGCCCAGCGGCACCGATACGCATGAGAGTGACCTGCATCGTCGCACACGTGGTTTGCAAAACGCAAACGCATCATGGTAACACCTCGTGATGACAACCACCAAACGCCACGAGTTCTTCTTTCCCAATGAAGTCGCCATTGTCGATGAAAGGGTGCAAGGGGCGCAAAGGCTTGGCGGCGACGGCGCTTGGCTGACTGGCTATGAATTGATTGCGTTGAAGCAATCGACCGGACCGTTAAAAAGCTCAGCCTGGCCAATCCATTAACAACTTAATGTTGCAGGCGCTTACACACCATGGCTGGATGTACTTCGTACCTTGCTAGTCGTCTGCCCATGCAACCAACAACCCCCAAGTCTGAATGCGGCGATTCTCCTTTTAGGTCCCTTGTTCCTTTTGCCAACCTCATCTTGGTCCCCTTCCGACCAAGACCTGGGAGCGGAGTCCTTTGGCCGCCGTACATGGCCAGCCAACCAGTCCGTGTGTCTCTTGTTGGCTTGTGGAGTCGTGACTCCATATTAGTCTGATGCGTTGACCTGATACGATCCTCGGCATGTGCAAATATCCTAGCCTATAAGTGTACCCAGGTAGTTAATAAGTGTCCCTGGTTGATTGTAGTAGTATTTCAAACCAGTCGGAGATATGTATGTACTACGGTGAAGTGCAGTCTGAAGTGAGACGAGGGCAGGATTGGTGCTATGATGCGTGAGCTTCTAAAACCAGTTGCATCCCGGCAGACCGGGTATCCAAAACTCGTAGTACTCCGTATCGTGAACCTAGTACACGGAATATACGGAACATCTTCATATACGTGTATGAGATGAACTCGTCTTGGAAAACCCCGTACACGGATGATGCAGTGGAAGCCACCGAACAAGTACGTCCACATCCTCCTACGTCAAGGAAAAGTCCCGAGAGCGTAGTGCCGGCGCTAGGCACTGTCACTGACAGCTTGAAACAACGTGAGAACCATTTACGGTTTCATCCTGTTTTGATCTTCCTCGCATGCCTCGCCAACGTCGGCGAAGGCCGTGTTTTGTACGGAGTAGTATTTATTCCTGTTTCGTTTGGTTTCTGGATACCAGATCGGGTTACAACAGAAAATACGGAGTAACTGTCGCAGCAATCGTTTGGAGATTGACTCTGCACAGCGAATTATACATGCCTACGGAGTTATTAGTAGACAGGGGGTTGAAGAAGACAGGCAGGGTCGATACTCGATGCCAGTCGTCATATTTACGCGCGCGGTCTTGTGCAGTGGTGTACCGAGAACGGAGTACTCCGTACCTGCAGAGAGCAACTGCCGCCCAGTCGTAGTACGAACTACGGAGTCCTACGAGGCGATTTGCTGCATCGCGACTGTGGCACCCCAGAGGTTTCCAAGCGTTATTAGGAGCGCCACGCTTCATGACCGTTGTAACCATTTGAGCAAAATAGCCCCAAACTAGCGCTGCTGCCGCCACGGGGTGTGCATGTGAACGTTGTTGCTAGCTTCAAGCCCAGTCGACAAAGCTTGAAAGCATTATGCAATTGTCACCGTCCTGTTGGCAACCGGTGCAGGCTCCGTCGATCCCCGTCACTAGCGCAGGAGCACGACGGTTTATCCTGTCGAAATGAAGACGTGTCTGTCTTTCCTTAACCCGTTCCCCTCCGGACGGCTGGCCAGAACCAAGCCAAGGAACAAAATCCAGAACCAGATAGCATGGTGGGGATGTCAGGATGTGGTGGTGAGGCTGACATGTCTGGCCAACGTGCGTTCGTTCGAACTGACAGCCCGCCCAAACGGCGATGGCGTCGGCCCAACTGTTTGGCTGCTCTCTTTGTGCGGGCAAGCGGGCTTGCAGGCGTTTGGCCAGGGGTGGCGCACGCGCAGTCGGGATGTGGTTGGCTTGGTTCAAGTGGTTGCTTGGAGGTTGGAGGTTCGTCCGGGGACAGGCGCACAACCCTGCCCACGCTGCCGCGATGCGTTTGTCTTTCAAAGATCCACCAAGAGTAATCTGGAGGAGGGTCCAATAAAGTGGCTAGCAGCGGGACTGGCGATACTATTGTGCTCCGTACTCTGTAATTGCTTGCATTGTACATACGGAGTAGTATTCGGTAGAAGGGCGACGAACCAAGGAGGAGGAAGCGAGGGGGGATACATACTAAGTCCTAAGTACCTGAGTAGATTAGGTAGAAAGGCCACTGGGACGAGCGCGAGCGTGTTCAACGTTGGCCTGCCGCGCCAACCCATCCACCAGACCTTTGCCATCGTCCTGTTCGCGCATTGCAGACTGGGTAATCATATGGACGGTTAAATGCATGTGCATATTCATGTGTGATCGATTGATTTGCACAACCCAAGAGCCGCCGCCGCTTGACAATGGACCCCTGCCCTGTGCAAATTAGTCTCAACCCCTTTTCGGCCAGCGAAGCCAGGAACCAGTCGTTGACGATGCCACCCTCCCGGCCGGGTGCCTGCCGCTAAACCCATTTGGGATCCACGCGCGCTCTCCACTGTGCCTCGACATGGGAGTGACCCTGCGACGACACTCGGTCACCCTTGCCCTTCTTCCTCGCGCCATCTTTTCCTGTTCTTGGCCCCCCCCAGTCAACAACGTCTGATGGCTAGTTCGCCCTCACCGTTGATGGTTCCCAATGTCCGCCGCCCTGGACCGTGCCTCTTTCTCTCCCTTTCTCGTTCAATTTGCCGAATACTGCTACATCCTTTTTTTTCCATGGCCAATTTAATGACCCGGTGATAAGACATTGCTCCTCGGTCTGGTCACATACGCGAGTCCTAAAATGGCACAATTAGCTTCGCTTCATGGTCATGCCTTGGCGGACCTGGAGCCAGGCCCGTCATCCATCGTGTCAACTTCTGATACAACATCTGCCTCGAAGTCTTCTGACACTCTCCGACACGACGAGCTCTTCTTCTTCTCAAGCCACCACCACCAGCAACAGCCGCCGCCGCAGCCGCAGGAGCAACAAGACGACTCCTTGGACAAGATCTGCCATCAAACGCCTTCTGACCTTGACACTCCTCCTTCTCCTTGTCTACCCATAGGACATAGCGTCACCAGCAGTCTCAGCTCCTTGACTTCCATCGCGACTCCTGTTGCCGGAACTACGTTTCAATCAACCATTGCTCACTTCCCCCCTCCTCCTCTCAGAACCCCAATCAGGCGGAAGCCGTTGTCCTCATCGGCGTCGTCCTTGGCCGCATCATTATCTCTACGCGATTCAGTTATCGCGGCGGTGCCTGCTCCATTGAACCCTGACCTTCTCCCAAGGCCGGGCCAGAGATTTGCCAGACCACCGTCTGTCGATAGTCCGACGTTTTACGACTATCCGCAGTCGATTCGAACATCGGTGCCCTCTTCCTCGTAAGTTTCGCCCTCCTTTGACCCCTCCTCAACCCTGCTATTGGGCTTCTCTCCCTACCACATTGGTCCACCTTTCGTTTGCCCCATCGAGTCTTGACTTCGTTTCGACTATATGAGCTGGCCACCTATGCCTTCTCAGCATAAGCCTCATTTCTATCTTGTCAAAGGCGTGCGGCTGCCTCTGCTAGGCTCACGTAACGGACACGGCAGAGTGCCATGAATCCATGCTCGAATTCACTATAAATTTGAACAGTATCTTG